TTTATCCTGTCCGGGTGTGAACTCACATGGAGGTGGCTGCGGGTAAGTATATGTGGGGTACTGAGGAGGCTCCACTTGAAAAATAGGATTTTGAAAAGTAAAGGCCGAAGGATCAAAAGTAAGCCTAGGCAGTGAAGGCTGTATGGTGGCCGAGCATGGTGGAGCGGTAAAGATATTGGGGACTGCTCCGGATGTGAACACCTGGGGGCGGACCTCAGAAGGTGTTCCAACAAAATGAGCCGACATGGTGGGCTATCCCAATGGGGTATTCGGGTGGCTGATGGGGATATTAGAGGTACCCCCTGTTCTAGGAAACAACTCGGGGAATCCAGGGATGGCACTTGGAGGCTCCCTTCCATTAGTCCACGCATCCCACATCTCCATGACCCTAAGACGTAAGATCCTGTTCTCTTCAGTCGCTGCAGACTCTGAGGCCGGGATGCCCGAAATTGGGCTATCTTCTGGGATGGGATTGCTGGCAAGGTCATTTCCGAAGACATTTCTATGCTCCCCTTTGATCTAGTAAAGTAGGGATGTGATGCCAGTTTACCACGAAAAACCAACCATCGTTTCTATAAAATCTGGACTGGAAGTGACAGCAGCAAACGGTTAGTTTGAGGCAAATAACAGATAGGTAATCGCACGTTGAGGCGTGATGCACCTATACAGTTAAATGTGTTTCCATATGTTTTGCAACGGTTGCATGCGTCATCCCGGCGTTTCCTTATTCTTTCCCATTATTCTTCTTTCGATTTTCATTTCTCTTTTTGTTTCTCTTTTCTTTCTTCTCTTGTCCTTTCTCTCGTTTTTCATTGCCTTTCTTTTTCTTTTTTCACTTTCTCTTTTCTTTTCTTTCATTCTTGCCTTTGCTTATTGCCATGGTTTCGTTCTGTTGGTTTTCTTATTTTCTCTCTCTTTTTTTTCGTTTCTTTTCCTCTCTTTTTTTTCTTTTATTTTCTTTCCTCCCTTTTTTCTTTTCTCTTAGGGTTACGGTCGAATCTTATGGAGATTGCCTACGTATCATGACCCCGCATGAATCAGACCAAGCGTAGTTCTTGAAAAAATAAATGCGAAAAATAAAGAAACAATTTTTGGGAATTTTCAATTTTTCATTAATAAAAACTTCTATTACAAAAGATGCTACACTACTCGTCTTCTTGGAAAGGAAAACTACAAACAGACTCAAAATAAAACAAAATACAGACTCGATGTTTTAAAAATCAAAAATACATTAAAGCTTCAATTACTGGGGCATGCGGGGCGTCATTCGGCCTCGCCGCGAGCCTATGTGCGAGAACTCCCTATAGTTACTCCAAATCATTCATAACTCGGCGGACGAAAGTCATCACTGCAGCATAGAAAGTGGTGCGAGTCACGTTCTCGCACACTTGGCACTTCATGGTAATGTAGTCAGCGATGGCTCTGATTCTTTCCCTAATTCTGCCCTTTTCCTGAAGCAACCGCCCTATCTGCTGGTTCCGGGCTTCTAACACTTGAGAGTCATGAAGGTGCTCATTTTGCAAGTTCTGTATTTCTTCCTCCATCTGAGCCATCAGAGCATAACAATGCTCCCTATTAGCTTTGAAATCTTTAGCCTGTTTGGCTGCCTCATCCTCAAGAATATTCACTTTTCTTCTCAAATTAGTAATAGTCCTTTCATAATTTCTCTTCATTTGTTGCACAATTGGGTCCATTCTTCTGCTTTCTTTGCCCACTGCGCCCGGGTTTTTGCTATACTTTTTTCGGATTTTTCCAAGTCTTCTTGGCATTCGAGGACTTTCTTTTTTAGTCTGCTTATCAACCTTTCATCAGCCCGACTTCTTTCTTGGTTGTTGGCAGCTATTTTCATCTGCCGGATCTGAGCCTTAAGAGCCTCATTTTCCTGGGTCAGTTTCTTCTTTTCTCCCTCATCTGCGGCAGCTTGAACACCATTTTCAAATTGAAGCTCCGTGACTCGCCTTTCCAACTGGCTTATTTTGGCTCTGTACTCATTCTCCTTAGTTAACCAATCCCATTGTACCTGGGCCCCATCGGTAAACTGTTGGACATGTGGTCTCTTTGCGGGTCTTTCAGGAATCTGGAATCTTTTGCCGAACCAAACCATATACTTAGGGTCCACTTCCCCTCTAGCTCGGTCTCGCACTATGGTCTTAGGTTCAAGAAACCTACACTCATTCCATACTTGGCGAATCTTCCCTTCTGGAAATGCGGCTTTCGGGCCCAGTTCAATGACATGTTTACTCAGATCTTCATCATTGGGGACGGTTTGGAATCTTCCTAATTGGCGCAGAACCCTGTAAGGAGCATAAGGCTGGATACTCCGGATGCCCATCAAGAGGATATAAGACACTTCAGCTGACATGGAAACTGCTTCAGTGACAGGAAGCCATCCAAATGCCCACTCAATCCTTTCGGCAGTCAAGGATCTCAGAAGTGTAAGCCAAGCTTCAGTACCCGTAGGGAATTCAATACCTGCTACCCGGCTTTCAAATTCTTTAATGCAGCTCAACCCGGTCAAACCATAATTCATGTACCCAACCCGGTGACAGAGGTGTTCTTGCATCCATAACTGTAGTAACAAATTGCAACCCTGGAAGAACTTCCCCCTTCCCTACAGATAGTCAAGGCTCTATAGATTTCAGATACGATCAGAGGAACCACAGTGCTGTTGGCTTTCTTGATAGCAACATCGATCATTCCCACAAGACCTATCTCTATATTCCCATCTTCTCGTGGACAGACCACAACTCCCAAGAAGGCTACCATGAATGCTAAACCCCGTCTTGCTTCCCATTTGTCTTTGTTTCCGGCATAAGTTAGACCAGTGTTTAGCTCTTCAAAACCATGGGGGTTGCCATATCGATGATACAAGAAATGGAGTGTACAATACCCTTCTGATAGATTTCCATCTTGAACATCCCGACTAATACTCAGCAAATCCAAAAATTTGTGGGGAGATACCGGTCTTGGTGCCAACGGATATCGACTTCTAAGGTTTCCATTAAGGCCTGCATAACCCGCAACTTCCTCCAATGTAGGTGTGAGCTCAAAGTCAGAGAAACGGAACACGTTGCGAGTCTGGTCCCAGAAAGGTATTAAAGCTTCAATTATGTCCAACCTTGGCTTGACGTTAAATAATCCGACGAGGCCGCCCAGAACCTTTACCACTGTTTCTTTACTTCCTTTTCCTATATCATCCCACCACATGTGGAGCTTCAAGGGGATCTCATTAAAGACTGTGAAGGATTTAATTTGATTCGTGCTCATCCTGCACATTTATTAAGGTGATTTAAAGACTTATTTTAACCTAAAAAGAAAAGCAACATCATTCTTTTTCAAAATTTTCATTTCAAAAACAAAACTTCGGCTTTGTGGATACTGCCTTTTAGCACTTCGGGAAAGAAGATTTTAAGGCTGTGCCCGCTAACCGTTGAAAATGACCCAATGTGGCTGTTCTTGCAGAAACAGCCTTTCGATGCCCTTTTGGGGACATTCGACTTATTTTAGACAAGAATGGCATCACCTGACTTATTTGTGACAAAAACTAAAATTTTTGTTGTTTTTGGGCTATTTTTGCAAAAAGGAAAGTTGGACCCGATGGGGGTGGCCTACGTATCCCACACCCTATGGGAATCAAACTGGCGTAGTTCGGGCAGATTTGACAAAACCAACTATGTTTTGAAAACACAATTTTTCTTTTTCTTTCATTTTCTCAAAAATTCGGCAAAGTTTTGGAATTTTCTAAATATACCTACCTCTCACTCTTGGTTTTTCTTTCTTTCTTTTCCCTCTTTTTTTGATTTTTCTGTCCCTATTCTAGAAGTCGGTCAACATGCAAGCCGAAACAAATAAATGCACAAGTAGAACGTAAGATGCATTAGGATGGTCTTTTTATTTCAGGTCACCTGTCCTAGACGGACCCAACCCCTATGTTGAGTCCCCTAAGTCAAATGCACATGATGCAAACAAACGTTCCTACTAGGGATCCGGCACGAGGCTTTGTTATACTAGGTTAAAAACCTAGGTTTATTGTTCTAGACCTGGCTTACCCGAGCGGACAACTCGACGGGGGGGGGGGGGGGACAGCGTACCGGGGATACAGAAGCTCCGCCGGCTTAGCAACTTATCCGAACCTCGTTCTAAATGGGATAAGACTCTAAACAGAAGAGAAGTCACACGAAGTGCATCCTTCTCCATGATGTAGAAGACTCAGAAAGAGGAATGGCGTCGTAGCAGTTTATATATATAATTCACCAAATATCAATGCGGTAAAGCATTTAGCACATTTAGCATGAAACAGGTAGGAAAATCAGATAAAGCCAAATATAACAGCTATTCTAAGCTCGAATTCTTGAACCCTGAACCGAAATTCTGGCACTACAAGAAAAAGCCTTATTTATGACCAACTTTTAGGGACAAGTTAATAATTTGGTCGCAAAAAATATATTTATTGGGACGAGATAATATTTTGGTCCTTAATACTATATTTTATTACGAAGGTAATAAATCTGGTCCCTAAAGAAAGTAATAACTGGTCCCAAATAATAATTGAGGGAGATTGAGCGTGACATTGTACCGCCAAAACCAATACCAAAATATTAAAAAACTATTATTTTGTGAAAAATCAGGCGCCAAAAATAAAATTTTTTAAAAAGTCAAGAAGTTAAACTCTCTGTATTCTAATTAAAACACAATATTCCACTGCCGCCCTAGCTTGTTTCCGCGCGCAAGCTCCGCCCAGTTTCCGCCAATCTCTGCTCGTCGCCTTTACTGTGTATTCTCAAAACACAAGTTGCGAAATTGGTGGTGTGTGAATTTGCCAAGTTTCCATCTCGCTACACTCTGTATTCTGAAACAAAATCGAAGCTCAGCCCTAGTTTCCGCCAAGCTCTGCCAGTCGCTTTTACTGTATTTTCTCAAAACTCAAGTTGTGAATCTGGTGGTGTGTGAATATTCCCAAGTTTCCATCTCGCTCGTTGAGAATCTGTGGTATGCCCCTCTTTCGAGTTTCTCTTTTCGCTGATTGATTCGCTTATTCGAGTTCTTCGATCTTCTTTTTCTTCTATAACATCAAAAATTTGGTAAGGTTTCATATTTTGGTATTTTTTTTCTTTTACAAAACAGTGAAAAGATTATTGGGTTGGGATTCCTAGTTTGATAATGTAATTTTCTGAAGTTTATATAAAATTGCTATTCGGTATCCTCAGCGGCAGATTTTAATTGCCTTCTTAAAGTTAATATTTTCCTTTCTCTTGTTGTTGGTATTTTGGGCTTTTACCTAGTCATTTCAGTGACTGGAATTAGATTAAAATTTGGTAATTTGTTAGTTCTTTTTTACATTTTTTTCTTCATTCAGACTAGTGGTAATTTGTAATATATATAGTGATTCATATAATTGGCTCCAACTATTTTGGTACTGAGCAATAGTTGATTGATTGATTTGTAATTATCATATTTCGAATGGTTTATCCTAATTGTTTAGGAACGATGCATAGATGATTGATTGATTGATTGATCAGAAGTTATTGAGGGCATTAGTAGTTTGATGTTTGCAAACAGTAGCAGAGCCATGATTTTCATTAATGGGTGTCAAAATTTGAAGAAATAAATATACGAAGAAGTTGAGGGAATTCAACACATAATATATACACACCCCTTGGTGCTATGTGGCCCCGCCACTGCTTGCAACATTGTATTGAAGTCATGATATCAGCAAAAACATATGTAATGGATGGTAATTTCAATCATCAGAAAATAGTTACAGCATCATTTAGTATGTATTTGTGTTGGACTTATGATAGAAAACAAAGTCTGGTTTAAGTGCAAACAGTGTAGCACTCTGCATTGACTTTTTGCACTGCTAACTCCAAGATTAACCAGTGAACACACCATTAGAGAATCAAGTGGGAAAGTGTTAGTAAAAGCTTGATTTTCAAGTACGAATATGAATAAAGTAACTTTACTGTTATTTAGTTTTCTTGTGAAAACAGCGAAGAACAGAATACAATGGAAGCAAAGTATCCATAGGATGATATTAACCAACAGGGATTAAGGCTCTTACATTAGGTCTAGTGTTTAACACGTGTTTTTAGTTATATTAGCGACTGCAACTAGTTTTGGGTTGAGGCGTAGTTGTTGTTGTAACGTAAGAGTTTTCTGGACAATGTCCTCTCTAGTCACCTTTAAATCCTACAGTTATTTGGAAGTTTCTTCTCCATAGGTACCTTCCCGCAAAAAGCACTAACAGGAATGATTTTGTAAACAAAAGAAGATAAGTTAACTTCTTCTTTTTTTGATGAAGTAAGAAGATAAGTTAACTTCGTAATAAGAGTTGTTATAATTCTTTGCTATAATGTGAGATCATAATCTTCTTTTATTTTCTTGGTAAGCAACTTCAGTTTTACATTTTTCCATGACTTACATAATTCCAAAATGGAAATCGGGAAGCATTCAAAACTTTGTTTATTTCAATACTCACATTCCTTGTTAGTTAGGAATTTAGTTAATAATCTTAGTGATTGGCAACAAGAGGACGGTAATCCCTATCTCCATAACCAGGACTCATGAAGTTCCAATCACTTACAGGTACTTTTTTAAGCAGTTAGGTCTCTGACTGAAGAATTAGAAAGTTCAAATAAACATAATCTACTTTTTGGACTCCGTCATTAGATAATTTCTCACCGAGCAGGATTTAGCACCTTCTTGGTGCAATAAATTGAAATTACTTACATATCTGATATCACATTTCTCACTGAACAATAGGAAACCTTAATAATTTATTATTTTTACATCCGATTGAAGTTGATATTTCACAATAAAAAACAAGGAACTGGTAATTTTAGTGGAAAAAAGCCAGGACCTGGTTTTTGCTTTACATTTTACAAAAGACATCCGAATAGGTGGATGATGGATTATCTTGCTTTCCAACATATATCTAGTTTACTGATGGTTCTGGTTGTCTTTTGTTGGTGATGTATCATTAACTGAAAGGAGCTCTGCAATTTCTTCCGGCTCTCTATTTTCTGATATCGCCTTTTGAATTATTATTCTGAGCCGAGGGTCTAATGGAAACAACCTCTCTACCTTCAGTAGGTAGGGGTAAGGTCTGTGTACACACTTCCCTCCCCAGACCCCACATGTGGGAATATACTGGGTAGTTGATGTTGTCATAAGATGTTGTTGTTGTTGTTGTCATGGACATGTTTTTATAACTACTATAGGGACACTCCTTAGCATCTTGAGACTGTTTTCGAGGCACTTGGGAAGAATCGTTCGTGACCGTAATATGTGTCCGTTGGGAGTATCATCGTGGAATGACATTAAGGAAGAAAAGCTGAATCACATGTGGGCAGCTATTTAGGTAAGCAAGATATTTATACAGTCATCAATTGGAGGAGTTTTAGGCTTGTTTTCTGATTCTGATGGTTACTTAGGATTTTCTGATTCTTTCAATCATTTGTTTCCTTTCATCTTTTTCTATTTTCTTGATGTAATGAATGTCCTATTATTAGTAGTTTTCATTGTCACAATAATACCATAGCTGTTTATTTGTAACCTTCTTCCAGATGTTCTGGACTTTGTGTATATAGAAAAGCTAGATTTCCCTTGTTAGTTGTAACCAAGCGAGCAGTGCCACAAAGAGCTTTCTAATCAGATGATTTCGATCTTTCTTTGTAACTAATTCATTCATGAAATAGTAAGCTAAGTATGGAATTTGTATAAAGGTTGGAGATAATTTTTCGCAATATCTAAAGTCGTAAAGCATGGTATCGTCTGTAGCTACATATATCCCAGTATTACAGGGGCGCAGAGATGTCCAGAGGTGCTTGTCCTCTCTGCCATTGTGTCATGTGATGGTGCTCAGTTACTAAATCTCATGGGGTGAAAGGAATCTGATTGGCCTCAAGTTCGTGATTATCGTTAAATAGTTCAGAGATTATTGCTATAAGGTTCTATGGTTCTTTCTTTTTAAGTAATATATGAAGCCATAAAAAGTAAGCTCTGTAATATTATTACTTGTTTTTTAGTTTAAATATTCACGTGTTTGTTACGTCATGCTTTATTCAAATACATTTTTTGGCTTTCATCTAAGTCTGCTTCCACATTCACTGTTAGTCACTTGTACTTCATAGCATAATAGATCTAAAATGGTTTTTCGTCTTAGAGATTTCCCAACGTTTGGAGAATGTTACTGATTCAACTGTTACTTGCTGTAGAGAAACATTTGAAACTATATTATATGTTAATTGCTGTATAACTGTTGGAGAGTTGCTCCTATCACATGATTATGAGTATTTACTAAAACTTAACTAATTCATTAACTCAACCCATGTTTTGATTATTGTAGGATAAATTTGAGAGTGTTGACATGAATGATCATCGTGATCATATCTTCGCATGGATGAAAGAGTTATGGAACAAATGGAGAGGACACTTGCATGCAAAATATGTTAAAGATAAGCCAATCCAACAAGCTCTTAAGAATATTCCAAACGGAGTAGACAAGAAAGAATGGAGTGGTTAGTAAAGGAATATTTTTCTTCAGAAGGTTTTCAGGTATGCCTAGTGATTTAATAATCTATTTGAGTTATCGAATTATGTGTTTCGATGTGTAGTTTCAGTTTAAGAATCACGACTCATGCACCATAACAGGGGAAATGGAAAAGTTAGATCAACAGAATGAATTCGAACTATGAAACTAAAACCTCTTTTGCCTGCAGTTCCAAAAGAGGGGCACACTGTTAGCCCAAATAATAAGGCAGAATGGTCCAAGTCCCTACCACAATCTGCTTAACATAGACCAAGAATAAGAAAATACAAAACAAAGGGAACACATAAAGTTCCCAGGTGCTAGATCACTACATGAAATGACACGAAGTTCCAACTCTGCTTGTAATGGTGTGTAATGCATATGCTAGTACGTGTACCAAGATAAAGGTGTGTGCGCGCATGAGATAGACAGAATGTGAGAGAAGCAAGATAGAGTGTGAGAGAGACCTTCTGTAGTTGTTTGAAGCCTTCCTCCACTGATGCAGACACACTTTGAACGTTGTGGTCTATTCGATCAACTATTGTCCCCTGCAACAGATTTCAAAATGATGAGTCTCAATTTGCTGCAAATACCTCTGGCAAACAAGGAGGGAGTACACTCAAACCTGGTCAATCACTGGGACTGACAGATCATGATTTGAGCAAGTTCACTAACTGATTTTAGGACCTACAAGGACTTCATGTTAGTAATCTGAAAGGAAAAAAAGCACTTGTTATTCTACATGTAAATAACATATAGCAGAAAGGTCTTTCACAGTCCTGTCTAATCTTTCTTTCTCTCTCTGTCGTGAACTGCTCACTCCTCTAACCAGTAGTCATCTGCCGTTCAGTGAACCCCTGAAAGATAAAACGACCACATGATATTCCTGGAGGCTAAGTTTGAGTTTAAGCTTTTTAGAAGTAACTTATGTTTAAGTTTATTAAATTTCTTACATTTAATCTTAATGTTTCACAAATATAGGCGAGAAGCAACAGGAATGCGGCAAATCGAGCTAAGTTGAAGATGCTTCATCATATTCGTAGCAAGCCTATTCGTGAGATCATTTATCAAAAGGTATTATCATAAAATTTCTATTTTCCTAAGAAAATATTTACGAGCTATTCTTTGACATGTTTGCCTTTGATGATGTTAAGGGCGGAAAAGATGGCAACCCACCGGATTTGGCAACAATTTTCTTTGAGACCCGTAAGAAAGATAACAAGCTTGTTGAATCTGAAGCAATTGAAAAACATGTATGTTTGGAAAATTGAATATGTAAATTACTTGAAGTTATGGTGGATTCTGATTTTAAATGTTTTTTTTTTTTTAAATATTTTGTAGGCTCAAATCGAAGAAATAGTTCAAGCAGATCCATCTCTACCTAGCATAGAGATTGTAGAAAAATGTTGTAGACCTCAAACTCGTAGCCATGTGTTTGGCTTTGGGGGTGGAGTGAAGGCGAAAGACTCTAAAGGTAGAACTTCTTCAAAGGCTGAATTACTGTCCGAGCTACGTTCAACTCGAGAAGAAAATAAATCTTTGAATGAGGAAAACAAATCCTTGAATGAGCGCTTGTCTACCTTAGAAGATGAGATGAAAGAAATGAGGAAAATGAGAGAGTACTTTGCTGCTCAACAATCACATGTCCCGCTTACAACGACATCGCCCGTTTCAACTGAATGACCTCTGATTTTGTCTGCTGACCAAGTTAGTAACAATATACTCCACCTCCTTCCTGATCTCCCTTTAAATCATTATATATATATAAAATTTGGTTTTGTATTTGATAACATTCCCAACCTAGATATTCCACCAAGTAATCCCTATGAGAAGCAATGAAAGATTAATAGTAATCTGATGCATTTGTTCTATTGGTCGTGGCATGTGGTCGTGGCATGTGAATGCATTTTTATCTTTTATCATGAAAAAGATACTCTGTTTCCATCCTGCTTTGCACAACAGGAATGTATAAAGAAGATCAAACAATAGGTTCTAGTTTCTACTTCTTATACTAGTTTACAGGTGCATATGTTGAACCATGTTGAACCATGAACATCTTTGTTTGACACTTTCGAGATAGAGATCCTCCACCAATATGGCTAAATGTATATTAGAAAATAGTCTGAAGTGGACATGGAATTGTTTGGAGAAGCAACAACAGCATCAGTTATGGTGTTACAGTAGTTTCTTCAGAGTATTTGATTATTAGCTTGCATGAATATGGTCTGTGATACTGATAAAGTACAAGTGAGAAGAATAATTCATTTGTACTGCTGACTTGCCTACTACAGTTCTACAGCTTCCCCAATACCAATTCACCGCTGTTGAGGTTTTAGATAAGGCTTTAGACTAAGTATTCCTGATACATAAAAATAATGAAATGGGAAGGGAGAAAAGGATGTACATCCCAAATTCTCTTTTTATCCTCTCTGGAATAAGCTTGCTGGGTTAATAGAAAAGAACTTTATAAGGAAACATTTACATAGAAATTTGTCTCCTTTGAAGAGAAAACATGATGAAGGCACTTCACAGAACCTTTGCCGATTTAAAATTCCTTGCGACCCACTAGTGTGTTCCCACCTCTCAGAGACAGGGATGGCCAAAGCATGTGTCAGCAGATGAATATGTTGATTCTGCAAGCCAACACAACAGCCTGGCTTAATATGTTACGTCCTGTGCATTCCTCAAACAAGATCCGTCTCTAACAACCTGGACAAATGGTCTCCATTTATCTGGTTACTGCGGTTGTTTATACATGTTAATAACAGCCTGAACAAACTGGTCGCTTATCGCAACTTTCTTCATGAATTTCTTCTTCTAGCAGATTACATCTATAGGCCAACTGTATGCTTATATTAGCGCCTGAATTCCGATTTAACCAGCCAATCAAGAAGGTTATAACCCAGGGCAGAATATCTTAAGCAGCATAATCTAATAATTATTGTTTTGCTTCCAGAAGAATAGCAGAATATGGTGCAACATTATAATAAGTTCCACTGATACCAGCAATGCCTTCAGTAACAAAATCATCAGGGGATTTCAGATTAGTGTCCACTTGCACTTAAAACATTATCAGTTTGTTTACTTTCTAGTTACTTCTGTATTTCTTGCTTCGTGTTGTCTGAACATTAAATTGACCTGTCTGTTGTTTTTGTGTATGGAAGGAACTCCGTGAAGTTAAGAGGAAAAGTGCAGCTCTTCAGTTGCAACAATTTGTGGGTGCGCGTTAGATTGAAGCTACAAGTCAAGATGCAAGTTTAGAAGATGCACAAGCTATTATTATTTTGCTAAAAAAGTTATGCAAAACTTGATATCATAGTCTATTTCAGGATGTTAGCTACGTTTTTTTTGTTGAGGTGTTGAAAAAACATAGAAAGTAACATCATCATGGGATATGAACTTGATATATTATCTTTTTATATTTGATTTTTCAACACCAATTTGATATTTATTGAGAAAAATTACTTTTTGTTGCATTGAGCTTTTAGGACTACTCATGGTTATTAATAGACCATGAATATTTTGCTAAATTACAAAATTATTTTAAATAGGGATGTCGTCTCTTAAAATAATCTAGGACCAGTTAAAGGTTGGTCGCGAAAATGGTTTAACGACCAGATGTTTTGTCAGTCTCTAATAGATAATTTAGGACCAGTTGGTGTTGGTCGCTAAAAAGATTTAACGAAGGGAATATATATATTTTTCATTGTCTATTAGGGACGAAAAATATAGTCTCGAAATGTTATTTGCGACCAGGTTTTCTATCCGTCTCTAAAAGGCAATGTAGGACCAGATATAGTTGGTCCTAAAAAGATGTCACGGTGGGAATAAATTTTTTTTCATCGCCTACTAGGGACGAGAAATGTGGTCTCTAAAGGTTTTTCGCGATCGGTTTTTTTGTCCGTCGCTAAAGTGATTTAACGACCAGGTGTTAAGACTCGTCGTTATTGACATTTAGCGACGGAGGCTATTACGACGGGTTGCGACCAGACTTTTCCCTTCGTAGTTTACCCTTTTAGGACCAGATTTTTACTTTTAGGGACCAGATTTCCCTTCCTTGAAGGCCATTTTTCTTGTAGTGTGGGTTCGTGTCCCCAGCAGAGTCGCCAGAGCTGTCACACCTCCTTTTTACACACTACCCCGAAGGATAGTGTATAATGGAGTTTTACCAATTTAAGTGACATTATTCGAAATGGGATTATTTATTTATTTCAGAGTCGCCACTTGGGATAGGTTTGGCTTTTGGTGTCCCAAGTCACCGGTTTATCTTGAATCCCAAATCGAGGAAATTTTCGACTTTCCAAGTGAAGTCTGCGAACCAGAAATTCTGAATAAGGAATTCTGTTGACCCGGGGGAAGGTGTTAGGCACCCTGGGATCCCGTGGTTCTAGCACGGTCGCTTAAACTATTATAAATAGCTTAATATCTGATTTTAATACATGTCATCCTATAGTGCAATTTTAAAATTATTTACCGCTTTTATTTAAATTTTAAGGAAGATTTGAACGTCGTTTAAAACGTATTTTTGGATCACGTCACATGAATGCACCCGGATCCGCAACACATTTTATTCAACGTTTTGGGATTTGAATCTGGGTCACATGAAATGCACACCCGAGTTTAAGAAGGTAGATTTATTAAAAAGCGCGCCTAAAGTAACTAGCGTGTTGATATCTTTGCGGGAAGCCATGGAAATTTGCTAAATGGCTTACCCGATTTCTAAATATTTTATAAAAGTAATTAAAGAGGGCCACGCAATTTATGAATTTTGTTTGGCGCGGCGCACCTCATTTTATTTTAAAGGCCATCCTAAAAGGGACTATTATTTTCTATTAAAGATTGTCTCCAAAGGCCTAATTAATTAACATTATGAATTAATCATTATTTAAAGCATTCGAGAAAGTTCGGGCCCTAAGATCAAGTCCAAACTTAAACAAAAAGATCTTCGTTATTGAAAACCTCTTAATTCAAGTTTGCTACTTAACTTGGAAGGCCTAAACTTGCATTACCAAATTAAACCCATAATTTTGATTAAAGCCCTCAGCATTTGGCTTCGAATTTGGCCCAATAGTGAGAAAGTTTCGACCAGTTTTATGAGGAGCTGCCCTAAATGGGCTTCTGAACATGCCCCTCGTGAGGGCAACGAAATTGGGACTTGGGCCCAAGCCGCCCAGGCCCTTGACTTGATGAAATCAATTGAATTAGAAGGGGGTGGGCCTGGTTTTAATTCTGGACAGTTATTGTATAACTGGGCCATGTTAAATCAATTCCTTATGGCCCAAACGGTCCAGGTATAAACCAGACCAGTATTGTTCAATAAATTACTTACTAGTGTAACCAATTTTTCAGTGTCCATTAACAATGACTCAACGAGCCAAATTTTGCTTTGCTTTTAATGACCAGTAACTGGACAGAATAGATTTTATTAGCATGCTCTAAAACATAAACATGAATGACTGGGTGCTTGATTTTACAGGCTCAAATAGAATCAACTAAACTAACTAGACAAACATATTGTAAACTCAATGGATCTACTGATTTTTATATGAAAAAACAAATCACCTATAACATGTAATCCAAACAAGGCTACTAATTACAAATGACTTCAAATATTTCAATTCCAGGCCGAGCCACAGTAAACTTTTAATTTCGAACTAACGGACTAATTAATGACATTTATTTAGATCTAGCATCTGCTCCGAATTGAAACATTTGTAAATTCAGCAAATTGAACTAATTTGTATTCAGCTAACTTAGACCAGATTTAAACAGGCATATAGGTGACCACAGTCCATTGTTCATTTAAATACAAACCAACAATAACAGACATCAATTAGCATCTAGGGCTCTAAATTCAGACTAGGATCATAATGAGATAGCAGCAGCACATTCAACACCAATTCAACTTCAACAAATTCTTTATTTGCATGATTTTTGAATCCTCTACATGTTCATAAAATAATCCTCATACATAGCTCAAAGGAATACCTGGATAATACCACACAAAAGGTAAATTTTGGATCAGAAGATCAGCAGATAGTAATCAGCAGCACACAGCAGCAACAAGATCAATTTTAAACCCAAAATAGTATCACAGCAGCCCAGGAGTCAATTGCAGAGGAAAAGCATCAACAAATAACCAAAAATAGACTTGAATGAACCAAAATAGACTCGAAATAAACCCAGGAACTTCTGAAGCTTCAGCGACCAAGACACCAGGAATGTTCAAACTATGTTCAACCTTATATAAGCTGGAATGCTAACTCAACAAATGGAATTCAGGATCACTCTAAGAATTTGAATTTGAATTGTCTTTTTTTTTTTTTTTGGATTTTTCTGATTTCTCTAAGTTCTAGGATTTGAATTTTTTTGAATTTTTCAGAGTTTTAGGATCTCTCTAGACTGCTGAAACTGGTTTTTTGAATTTTCAGATCTAAAAACCTTCTAAACTTCTCTGATTTTTCCCTCTCAAAACTTTTTAGTTTTCTAAAACTTCTAAAACTTGTATTGTAAGGCAAGGTATTGCCCTTTTATAGACCAAAACTAGGGCAACTCTCAGATTTTCCTTTTACATTTTAGTCCCTCATTTATTTTCAGTTTTTAACTACTTAGTCCCTCAATTCATGCCTTGTTGGTCAAGTTATACTACCAAGTTCCTAAATTTCAAATTAGAACCCCCATCTAGAAGGTTCTAGGGGGTTCCAATTCAGTTACTGCAAGATTCTTTCATTGAACTACCTATACTACCCCTACATTGGTTCTGAAATTACTAACTATGTTAACTAACCCCAGCCCCCTTAGACTTGGTCAAAAAAAATTGACCATGGTTAATTAACAAAGGCCTAGCATTTTCAGCAGTAATCAAACAACACTTCAATTAACAAAAACTTCCAAAAATTAAACTAAATCTGATTTTAATCCTAAATTAATCCCTAACAGTTCAAATTAAACTACTATTGGCAATTATAAATCAAACATGAAGTTAGGAAAACAAGTAAAAATTAATCAATCACACTAAGTCATGAACTTAAACTAACATCAGAGAAGAAATCAAAAACATAAACTATAAAACCTAGAGTACTGATTACTGCCAGAATAAGAAAAATAAAGCATAAAGAAAACATGAATGAATTAACAGAAACAAAGAAAAAACTATGTTTAAACTAATTTTAATAGCAAAGAAATAAGAAAAACTCACCTATGCAAGGATCGAACAGGACTGGACTTCGATTCGAGTCCCAAAATGATGCTAAACGTTTGTTAAGAACAAACAGAAGCCTTATTTTGTGACTCAAATCAGTTTTTGGACTCAAGAAATTGGGAAGAAATCAACAAACTCGAACTTCTAGGGTTCTGCCATTGTACGATTTGAAATTCGAGAAACTCAGGTGATATTCGAAGGAAACCATTTAGGGTTTCGGGAAGAGGGAGGTGAGGAGTGTCTGGGGTGTGATTTTGGGGAGGTTTGGGAGGCGGCGCTAGGGTTTCTCTTATTCGAAGGGTTCAAGGAGGATTTGGGGGAAACTAGGCTTGGATCTGTAATGAGGAGGATGAGAGGAAGCAGGGGTGTATTTTTGGTGGCCATTGGGTGATCGCCGCCGGCGGAGGCGATTTTCGGCCGGCGGCGGACGGTGGGGGGACGGTGGTGCTAGGCGGCGTTATGCCGGAATTAACAGGGGGTATGAGAGACGATGGTTTGGGGTAGGGGGTGTCGTTTGGACAATAATATATCAACCAACCCTCAGTTTCTGACCGTCCGATCAAAGAACCTAGACGTCAGGATCAAAACGCCCCAAACGACGTCGTTTTGGTTCGATCTGGGGTTGGACCGGGTGACCTTTGGGCTTGGACTGGGTTGGATGGGTTTGGGATTTGGGAAGGGGTTCTTATTTGGGCTGCTATTAAAATGGCCCAAAACTTGGGTCTTTATTAAGACTTTCTTTTCCTTTTAATTTTCTTTTCTTTTTCTCATCATTTTTTTATATTTTTGTTAAATGCACAATTAAAAATAAAAAGACCTGATTTAACTCTAAAATTAAACTAATTAATTTTCTAAAATTAACTAATCCTAATTGAAAAGAAAACTAAGTAAAAATGCAAAAGGACTATTTTTTTGTGATTTTCTCTTATTTCTTGTAATGCTAATTAACTAGTAAACCTAGAAATATAAAAATGGGATCCTAAATGCAAATGTGCTATTTTTGTATTTTTCATGAATTATATCAATTAAATGCAAACAAACACAAAATCATGCAATTAAATTCTAAAAATCAAATAATAAAAGAAAAATCCTAATTCTGAGAAGTCTATAGGAATAATTTAAGCGAGGCAAAAATCACATGCTCACACCTTGTGAGAGGAATGCAGATCAATTGGCCTTCTTTTATTGTCAAATTATTAGATAGGGTCATAAATGGCTCCAAGGCTCATGCCACTCCATATGGGTTCATATTGACTACTGTTCTGGACAG